AATAGGACTACTTGGAAAATGAAGAGGTATTCTTGTCAATGTCAAAAGTAAAACTAATACTAGAAATCAAAATTCTGGGAAATATTTTCCACCTGCTGTGCATGAGGCACCTTCTCAATACCTGGAAGTGTTTTTGCTAAGAAAGGTGATGATAATAAAACAAGTTTTTTGGATGTTAGAGACAAATATGAACCAGTTAGGTCGAAGCTGAACAATGTATATTATAAATCATGTAATGATAAAAATATTATTCATTTTGCAAGATGGTCCAATAATTATGAATGTAATAACATCAAAAAAATAGGGGCCAGGGAGATGGCTCAGTGGAATAAGAGCTTCGCTGGCAAGTGCAAGGGCCTGAGTTCAATCCCCACTTCTGCAAAAAATAAATAAATAAATAAAATTAAAAACTGATTGAAAATTATGAGAAACTGGAAGTGGTAAGTGAAATGTATTTGAGTGTTTGCACACATCCTGGTGCTTTTTTCCATTTTCTTTTCGAAGTTAAAATAAGGGCCTGAGAAGATAGCTGAGCAGTCTAATCATCCTCCTGGCAAGCACAAGGACCCAGGTTTGATCTCTGGTACCACGTGCCCTGCCAACCCAGAACTCCAGGTGTACCATGCCAGCCACCAAAAGTGAGCCTCTGTGTCAAACAATAAAAAATAATAACAATAAAAGAAAATTGAAATAGGGATCAAAAACTGTGTATAAGGAACTAGCGGCAGTTACCAAAGTCACCAGAAAGATGGACTACACAGGTCTTTGGTATGACATAAAGAATTTTGATTAAATTTTGTTATTAAAGTTAATGTTTTCCACAATGAAAATCACAATGATTTATTTTGTGAGAAAGTGTGGTGGATGAACTACTATTTCCAATTAAGAAAACTCTCAATGCATTACACTTCTCCAAATAGAATATACCTTGAATTTTATCTATCTGTATTTTTTGTTGCAACTTGCAGATCTTAACCACCATTTTTATCTCAGAATCCTTTTGACTATCAGTAAAGATTGTAAGAGAAAAACTGTTCAAGGAAAAATTGTACTTATTAATACTTTGTTCCATTTGAAGCTGCCTAGCTCTCTAACTGCTTCCTGGCTCTGTAATTATGTTGTTGATCCCTATAACCATGAGAGCTTAACTGAAAACACAGGATGCCTGTTGTAACTGATGATCATTCATCTAGCCCTGTAACAGATGACCTCAGTCTGCAAACAAATAAGGATGTCCTATCCTGCCTTGGTCACCCCTGCCCATAAATATAGCCCTGGGGATATGGTTCAGATAAAAGATTGGAAGAAAGAACCTTTAGAGCCCACATGGGAAGTTCCCCATCTAATTATTTTGGCGACCCCAATGGCTGTCAAAGTATCCGAAGTCCATCCATGGATCCATGACTCTTGGTTTAAAAAGGCTCACCCGGATGATTGCTGGAAGAAAGGTCTATCCAGATATATCAATTCCCCTGAAAATAACCCTGAAGAGACAATGCACTCCAAACCTTGCTCCTGTCACTCCGCTTGCTGACAGATCATCACACAGCTGAAGTTTGGAGGACAACATTGATGGGATTTGATGTGCAACAATTTAGACTAGGCCCTCATTTATGTACTTGACATTATGCTATCCAGCTTGGTTCTTCTTTATGTCATCTTATGTCTTGTAATCTTTGCCTTGACCTTGTGGAAATTCACCCAAAAAGGGAGAAAGACAACAGTGAGGATTTTTCCTTACTCTGTGCATGGTTTCTTGTTCAACTGCTATTTTAAGCTTTCCTCTTCATTTAAAAAAGTCTAGGGTGATCAAGTATACCTAGAAAATGTTTATTTTTGCTAATGTGCCTGCATTTAATGCTGGAGTTTGGATCTTGGCTTTGTTCAATTTAACCAAAGGAAATGAAATAGAATCAACACGAGCCCATGTTATATTTTTTACCTGGTAAAGCCTGATGGAAATGAAATAAAAGAGGCAATCTTCATTTCCCCAGACATGGAACTTAAATGACAGTCGGCACATAATGTCCTGAATATTAGATCCCAGATGTTGCCTCTCATCATGGATTTGTCTTAAGTATGCACCTGCAGTTCTCATGTGTGCGCTTCCTCAAAGAATATCAAACAAATATAAAATCTCAGCCCCTGTTTTGGCTTTTCTACCTTTTATGGAAATGTAACTTGTGTCCTCCCATCAGGTACCTCTCCAGTACCTCCATGTGTTCAGGACATTCATCACCCAGGAAGTAGCCTGAGCACCCCTAACAATACAGGTTTCTTCTTCCGTGATGAGGTAAAAATATGAATACACAGTACCCAAAAACGCACCTGTGCCCTTGTTAACATTTTGCCAGTACATACCTGTAAGAGCAAAGACTGAAGTGTCCTATCCTCAATAGCCAATCATAGATTTAAGAAGGCCATCCAGGATATCTGCTGTCCTGCGTGAGATGAACTAGGTGACTCAGTCAGGATGGAAACAGCTGCTCTGGTCATTTGCAAAATGGAATTAAATCAGTTGGCTGAGACCAGTGACTCCAAAGGAGTCCAAAGTTATTCTTGTTATATAGGTCTTGTTTTTTTCTTGGTCTTAACCAGCAGAAAAGTATAAAAACAAGGTAAAAAAAAAAGTAAAGCCATGCAAATAGGCTGAACTGTACAAGAGTAAGTGAAAAGTAGTTTCTTGTCAGGAACAACGATTTCTCCACATAATACTCATCCCTGATACTCTAATTGCATGTCTTTCTTTACCTCTGTAGTCTCAGTTAGATGAGCTTATTTTTAATAGAACACATGCTCATCTCTGCAGGACTCAGATTATCACTTCTGTCTAAATGACTCTGCTGAGTTCTTCTGGCCTGGGTCCTGGTGAAGCTCAGGGAAACATGGAAAAAGTCTGGATGGAAGCTGGATCCATGGTGAGGGCAGGCAGTGTGAGCCCAGCCCCAAACCTCACTTTGGGGGTGATCAGGACCCACAGACCCTGCTCCTTACAGCCCAGGGATGTGCAGTCCCTTCAAAGGGAGCTGAGGAGCACTCAGTGTGATCTAGTTGCTCAGGACCCAGCGCTCCCAGGGCTGCAGCACAGGAGCAGCTGCACTGAGGCTCTTGACAGACTTCACCGGCAGAGATCCCGGGTCCTCCATGCTCTTCATTCATTTGAGTCCCATAGCCCTCTCATTCACTGGAGTAACATTTTTTTTATTACATCTTAATTGTTAAAGCTTAACTAAAGACATTTTATAACTATAAATCTGAATAATTTATCACAAATTTATTTAAATGATATAGGTATCAATATTTTCACCAAAAAAACCTTAAAAGTTTATTGTTTGTGACTATATTCCATAAAAATTGCAACAGAATCTAGATAGAATTTATAATCAAAATGCTATCCTACAAGCCCCACGTCTGTTGTTATCTGTTGTTTCAACTCTCGGGATCCAGATATATAAGGAAAAATGTGTATTTGACGTAATCTGCTCATTGTGGGGTATTTCACAGTAGCAGTAATAGACATATACATCCCCCTAAAATATTGCATGTGTTCTACTCACATTCTGGTGCGTTAGTACACTCAGAATTTACTGATCAATAAGTTCCTTTGGACATAATTTTATCACATGTAATACGGTGACCTCTGACCCAGGTAGATAATCTTGCCTCTATTTTGTTATGTAACCACAATCACCCAAAATTCCATATTTTATTGTTTTGTAACTTCATTTCTCTGATACAATTTAGAAACTGTATTAATTTACAGTTAATCTAGTTTTTTTTGTTATGTTGTACTGTTTTTGGTGAAAAAAAAGACCAAATTTTTCAGGTGTCACCATTTGCAAGACAATGAGCAACTTTCTAATGACCAAAAGCTTGAAATATTTAAGTAAACATTAACTGCAGAATCATGTAAAATTATTTTATGACTTGTTCCTCATTGCTTGTTAAGTTTTTGTGTAATTCTGAGGACCCACAGTCTTCAAAATTCTTCTTTGGTGATAAAGAAGACCCACAGTCAATAGGCAATTAGCCAACCGCTGAAGTGTATGTCCAGAAGTACTGGAAAATTAATCAACAAAAATATCCAATAATTCTCACTTACATAATCAGTTGTAGATATTTTAAATACACCTTTTGTATCAAGCATGACTCAAGCTGTAGGATGTATACATTTTGTATAAAAGTTGAAATGGAAAGATTAATGTAAACCAGTATGAAGAAGGTGATGAGCTGCCTGGTGATAGAGTGCAGGAGAAAGGCACTGGGAGGGAGGACTGCGGAGGAACCGCAGGGCACAGCGCAGGATGATCCATGTGTTCCATGATTTGACTGCGTGCTTGTACAAGTGTCGATGTGTGCTAGAATTTCTCAGGTGTACACTGCGTATATGGGCAGCTTATGTGTTATGTGTTTCAGAAATTAGCAGTATCTATACATAGGGTAAGAATGAGAGAAGTACTTATAATTGAAAATGAGAGATTTACTGCCAGATAGCTGGTTCTGTCTTCTCTCAGAAAACACAGGAGGCTGCCAATTCACACATGTTCTCCCTACAGGAAGAGGGGATAGAAACCCCAGCAGCTGTGTTCCTCTTTGTCCAAGAGCTGAAATAGTAATCAGTTTGTTAATAATTTAGGAGACTATAGGCCCAGAAAGTGGGGACACAACTTACAGCACATCACCTCTTCTACAGGAAAGAACAGTTTCTCACACTTTCATACTTTCACATTTCCAAAGTGGAAACTTAATACAAAAGTGCATGCTATGTGGACATGAAAAATATAACTGGATGAAAAGATAAATATCAAACGTTTCATAATTGGTGTTCACATTTTTTTGAAAACAAAATATTATTAAATTTGCCCAGTACACTCATATAGGATGTTAGCACTCCCCTCTCTGAATTATCCATCCGAAGAGCCAGTTTTAAAGCAGCAGACCATGCAAATAAGGCGTCCCTCTGCTGATGAAAACCAGCCCAGCTCGGACCCTGTAGCTCTGGAGTGGAGCGCAGTCCTGAACGCCAGATTTTCCCACTTGGTGATCAGGACAGACCACAGACGGCTGATCATGGAGCCTCTTCTAAGCTGGGTTTTCCTCCTTACTGTTTTCAAAGGTAATTGACAGGAGCAAGAGACACTGTGTGTGAATGGCACAAATGAGATAAACATTGGACACGTGTGACAGTTCCTGAACAGGATATCTCTCTGTCTGCAGGTGTCCAGGCTGAGGTGCAGCTGCTGGAGACCGGGGGAGGTTTGGTGCAGCCCGGAGGCTCCCTGAGGCTCTCCTGCGTGGCCTCAGGATTCAACTTCGGGGGCTATCTCATGAACTGGATCCGCCAGGCTCCGGGGAAGGGGCTGGAGTGGATCGCCTACATCAGTAGTGGTAGTAGTTACATATACTACCCAGACTCCGTCAAAGGTCGTTTCACCATCTCTAGAGATAACAGCCAAAACACCCTGTATCTGCAAATGAACAGCCTGAGAGCCGAGGACACAGCCGTGTATTACTGTGCAAGAGACACAGTGAGGGAACATCAATGTGGAGCCCGACACAAACTTTCCTGCAATGACGCTCATAACCAGCAGGGGCAGCTGTTGTACAGGAAGAACCAGCCAGGGCCCCAGGAACAGGTGCAGAGAAGGACACTGTGGTGAGGGCTTCCTGTTGGCCTCTGGGGTTTCCTTCTGTACTAACATCACAGGACCTGAGCAGAACACGCAATGCATGAGCTGCAGTCAAGTCTCTAAATTCGAGTAAACATATATCGAATTGCATAAGTACATTTGAAATAGCACCTTGTTCATCTCTTATATGTGAATTTGATTTGATGGATAAACATGACTTGCATGCATCTTGAAGTGATTTGTATGTATTGCAGAAACTTGAAAATTCTGGGGAGTTTTCTGTTGAATTTTCTAATCAAAAAAAAAAATGAATCTACCTAATTCAGTCACAATTATGAGGAGTTGTCTTGTGCAGAAATAAATGATTCATATTAGAGAGTTAAATTGTTTAATTAGGGAATTAAATCCTACTTGAGTAAGAAACCCTCATTTAAATTGCATCGGTATAGTTTGGGCTGTGGTTGAGGTGATTTACTGAAAACAGAAGGCCCACCCTAGCCAGGTTTGTTGGGTGAATGCTATAAATGGTTAAAAAAAAAAAAAGAAAGAAAAGAAAAGAAAAGAAGGAGGAGGACGAGGAGGGGGAGGACGAGGAGGAGGACGAGGACAAAGAGGAGGAGGAGTCACTTGTGTTTCTTCAGAAGCACTTCAGTGTTAAATTCCACCTTATACCTCATCTCCTGGATTCCAATACAGACTCTTCAGCCCTCTAGAGCAGACTCCAGCTTCCTGCACAAAACCTTCAAACTTTTGGTGCAAAACCATCAAATTTCCACCACAGACCCTCAGGCTCCTGATACAGACTTGCATGGGAAAGCACAGTGAGCTCCAGCCTTGGACCACATCCTCCAGATTTCCAGTGTGTTCACAACTGTTTTGCACTCTTCCACACCTGACTGTGTTGGCAGGCATTGTGAGACAATATTGTAAATTCTTTTATATTTGTATTTATTATAGTAAATGTGTCTCTTTCTTGAGGGATACATTCTGCACTACTGTTTTGAATACTAGAAATTATAAAATTTATAATAAGCAGTGTAACCATTCTTTTCTCAGTCCTCTTTCCTTCTCATTTTGCTTTCTCTCTCCCTCCCTTTCTCTCACCCTCTTCTTTCCTATCAAACTTCCATCTCTATTTTTCAATCTATGTATCATTAAAGTAATAGAGATTATGTAAGGTAAAATACTCCAGTTTCATAATATTCATTTTTCTTTCCAATATAAACTTTCAATTCTGCCTTTATACATTTTCTTTATTATATCTCATTTAATTCTATATTTTCTAATTATGTACCTATGCCTAAATTTTCCTGTAAAATTTGCTTCTATATATAATAATGATATTTGCATGGTTATAGTTTAGGTGAAGCAAGGACATAGTGAAAATAGCAAGTCATTTGCATATACTGACCCTGCACAACTTGTGAAGCAGAGCTGATGTGATATTCTTACATGGAGACCACTGTCTTAGTTTCTTTCCTCCTATTGCTGAGACAAATCATGTGACATTCAAAATTAAGGAAGCAAAGATTTCTTTAGCGCACAGGTAGTAAAAGTTTCAGTCCATACTCAGCTGGCTCTGAGGCAGAATGGCACATGGCAGAGGAAGCTCTTCATGGTGAATAAAAACCAAAGAGCAAAGGGAGGAACAGCAGCTGCAGCAGATAGCAAACCTCTCACCCTTCCTTACGCTGAATTCAGGCTCACTGCCCCAGGGGAAATGTAGCACTTACACCTGTAATTCCTAATCCCCACATTGGATCATGAATTAACCACAAACTCTCAAATCCACCCCCATGATGGCATGAGGCTCTGGGAGGACAATTAGACATAAATCATAAAAAACACTAGCCCTCAGATATGACAGAGGACCTTATGGTCACATTGAACATGGAGAACCTAATACACTTCCACCTCTTCACATTTCTGTACATGCACTTGAGTCAGAATTGTCACTGCTGTGTTCTGTGTTTTAAGACTTAGAATTTATGACCCAGTTTGATGCAGCTGATGTTCCAGATACACCTGTTGTTTCCAGCCCATAATGCAGGTCTTCCAGAATATATCTTCAATTGAGTTATAACCAGATTCTCTCTCTTGGACCTTCTGAATTGCAGCTTCCTATATATTCCTGAAATCTCTAAAATTTTTCATGACTTTCTTTTTTTGTGACTGAAATTTCTATCTTGATTGGACAAAGGTCATTTTCTTTCTTTCTTTCTTTCTTTCTTTCTTTCTTTCTTCCTTCCTTCCTTCCTTCCTTCCTTTCTTCCTTTCTTCCTTTTTTTGTACTGGTGATAAAACTTAGGACTTTGTGATTTTCAGGCAGGCACTTATGCCACTGAGCTATGTCCCTGCTCACAAATGTCATTTTCACATACTGATCTTCAAACCTTGTCTTAAATAGGAGTACAAATAGGAATAATAAAAGTGTTCCTAGCTTTTCTCCAGTCTGTAAAAGCATAGAAATTCATTACTGACATATGCAAATTTAAAGTAAATCTAGAATGAAAGAATATTTTTCATAAATAAAACTTCAGATTTCACCAATTCCAAAGCAACCTGAAGAGGCAGATATCCAGAATTGCAGGTGATTCCTGGATCCTGACCCAGAAGAATCCACAGGCACTCAGTGAAGGGAGCATGGTGGAAGGTTATGACGGATGACTGGAAGATAGAAGAGGACCCAGCTGAGGTCACATCATGCTGCTGGGGGCCACACATCCCACCTGTTACTTCTTGAAGCCACCACAATCTCAGCAGGAAGATTTTTTTTAATGTTGCAAGATTTTTATGGCAAATAAAGTTTATATATATTTTAAAACAAAGAGTCAGAAAAATAATCATCTTTGAATGTCTAAGACACAAAATAGGCCATGTCACAGAATAGTGGAGAAATAATTTACAGTTTATTTTTTCCATAATTTTATTCAGAAACAAATAGAGAGGAGACAGTTTCAAACCAAATTGGTAGGAAAGTTTCAAAAATTAACTCTCCTACCAAATTGGTAGGAGAGTTTCAAAAATTAATTGCATATGTTCTTCCTAGTGGTTATTTGTTGTACAAGATGCGGACATGAAATCCTATTCACAAACACTATTAGAACAAATCCTTGTATTCATTCAGAGAATGTAACTATATATCTATCCTAATCATTCTGAATACACAGATACAAGATGGACATTCATCTGTATCCCCTTTTTTGTTTAGTTCCGTCATTTGAATATTATAGGTGTGTTAACTCAGCAAAATATTCTAAAAGAGTCCAGTAGTCCATAATAGTATTAGGTCTTTCACTTGATTGGCAATGTCAGAAATTGTTGACCTGAGTCCCCTACAGCTCAACATAACAGCATGGCTTTACTTCTTATATTTCATTTTTATACTTTTCTCCTGGATGGTTAAGACCAAGATAAAGCAAGACTATGCAAGAAGAGTTGTAGCTTTTGGGTCCAATAAGGTCATTGGAATCCCCTCAGGAGTTATCCTGAGATCCTGTACCTCAAATTGTAGATCTTTTGTCAGTTTCAGCCATGTGGATGAGTCATGGCCATTGCTTGGCCAATGACAGCAGGAAGATTTTGAAAGATTACACAAGACTCTGACAAGAAAAGTAAAGACTGTTCACTGAGAAGTGGACATACACCCTGGCCCAAACAAGATGCTCAGGGAAGAACTTTTCTAGAGAATTCTCCTAGTTGGAAGAAAATCATTCTAACTATAGAATAACCACCCATCCTTCCAGGATAATCAAAAAAAGTCACAGCATTGAAAAGAATAGAAAATGAAAGTAAATTCTCCCTCTTTTCAAAGTTTAGTCAAGTGAAAATGAGCCAAACCCTTAGACATTCCTTGTGAATGTCACAGGGACTGAACGTCACAGAGATTTCATCATTCAAACACATAATCCTCCAGAGAAAACACACACCAGCATGATGGGGTAGCATAGGACCTGCAGAAAATGGGCCCATCTAGAGAAAAACTTAGTGAAGCTGCAAGACAGAAGAATAGGTCAGGAAGAGGATAGCACAGCCCTGTAAAGCCTCCACTTTCACCTCCTTCCATATACTGTACAGAACCTCAATCTCTGCCATCCTTATCCACTTGGTATCCTTGGCAAGTTATGTCTCGTCCTGGTTTTACCCAAAGGGTGTCCCTAGAATCACAGTTTCAGGAAGATTCACACATACAGGAAAATGGCTACCAAGAAGATTAAAAGATGAGTCCGTATCCATGTAAATGTGGCTTCTAAGGTCTGAGACCCATAGCTAGACCCCAGATGGAGAGCATAGTCTTTTATATTGTTATATAGTAATATTAAAGATGTTTTCTATTTTGCCATGTCAAGTGATATTTAATTGTGATTTTGATTTACATTTCTGAGGTGAATAGCAATGAGGAGAAAATATTGCTGTTTATTCGATAACATATCCAACAATTATTTGCTATTTATCACTTATAAGACATATGGGCTGTAGAGATCCAGTCCTGGCCCAGGACCTGGTAAGCGTGTGGGAGAGGTTCCTGCTACACTAGGCCGGAAGGATCTGCTGGTCCAAGCCTAGGCGCAGCATGGGTGAGACTCTCTTCAACCCCCTGACACTCCCACCCCCACTCCGCAGCACCCCCTCACCCCGCCCGCCCAGTGGGAATTTCTGCCGCATTCTGAGGACCCCCATATCCAGTCCTAGCTCAAGCCTGGTGAGTGTGTGGAAGATCTTCCTGCTACTCTGCGCCAGCAGGACTGCCGGTCGGACCCCAGCAGCAATGTGGGGAGACCCTCTTCCACCCCTTGGGATCCCTACCACCACTCCGTAGCACCCCCTCACCCCACCTGCCCAGTGAGAAACTCTGCCATGTACTAGGGACCCCCAGATCCAATACTAGCTCAGGCCCAGTGAGTGTGTGGGAGAGCTTCCTCTCCCCCCTGCTCCAACTTGTCCCCTCCAGACTCAGCTCAGGCCTGGCATACAGGCCTGAAGTGAAACCCTGCAGCTGTAATCCCTGCAGAGAGAGTAGGGACAAAGCC